ATTTCTTTCCTAACAAATCCTAACTCAGCTCTCTGAGATCATTCTTCAAATTTTCTGAATAGTTCAACTCAAGTGTAGACCTGCACCTTGATATTGTTTTACTATTTTTGCGTTTTACGAAATATTTAGATAACGGCTCACTGTCAGGCTCCTGAAGAAAATTGATGGTTTGGTTGAGCATTTCATTCACTACGTCGTATTCTCATTACGTCGAATTCCCACCAAGTGAAACTCATTAGAATTTCAGCAACTTCCGTATTTTGGTGACGTCAGAAAAAGGGATAATTTTCGACGTAGTAGAATTTTGACGTAGTGAGAATTCGACGAAATGATACGCACTTATACAAAACAGCTTTCCGAAAAATTCAAAACGTGGTAATTTACGACCTAGAGAAATTTTTGCGAATAGTTCGAATAAAAGGACGGAAAAGAAATTGAAGAAATTTCAGGAGAATGGTGTGTTTCGCCCAATGCTATTTCTTTTCTATCTTTCATATGCAATGAAAATCACTCACAGTTTTATAATGAAAATATTTCAAGTTCAAACCACCGACAATAGCCGAGAATTGAGCACCTTGTCTGAACCTCATCTTCTTTATCAATACAAATGCTTTTTTCATGCATCGCCATAATCCCTGCCAGCTGTATTCCGAGAGAATGAACTCAATTAATTTCGAGTCGATTTCTATATTTAGGCAGCCCGAGTCTCTTTAAAGCCATCGCTGCAATGAAAGATGGCATCGTGAATGATAAAATCCAGTTGTCTCTGTAAATCGACGTCAAACCAGAGAAGATCGACTGAGTCGTAAAGAAGACCAGGGCTCATGACTCGATCGTGGCACTTCCAGTTCGACTTTTAGACAGCAGTGTTGAATTTATATAACACATGAAAGCTGTTGTTCCTAGCGGGCCATCACTCACTCACCCAAACGCACTAAATCAGTCCGGTAGTAAAGGCAGAATCAACATTTCCCAGTCTATAAACTCGACTCGAGTTTATTTGTTGGAATGGAATATTCGAGTTGCTCTAATGTGTTTCAATTGTTCTACAATAAACAATGTCGAGTGCTCAATGCATGTTCCCACTTGATTTATCGAAACGCTGTCCAAAATTATAGACGGTGCAGGTTTAATATGTAGATATTACATGGTTGCAGGTTGCGGGTTTTTGCACGGATTATTGATGAGCTTTGGATCGAACAACGGAACAAATGCAATTGCCTTTTATGCAACAACAACTAATAATTGTGTGTTATCGTTGACTGAATATCAAAATTGAAAAGCTCTGTTTATGAATGTTTATCAAAATTTTATTTTCGGTACTGCAAAAAGGAATTGATTGCAGTGCTGAAATGGTATAATTATGTTATAATTTTTATAGATCTGGAGACTGTATTTTCAATTGATGTCCACTGAGTGGACATTACTTGGAATTGCCTTCTCTTGCAAATTCATTCACTGAACCCATCGTCACAGGGGCTTCCAAAAAAACTAAGATAATGGGTTAAGTGAATAAATTCTAATTTCCTTCTGTCAGCGGAGTTTTGGTCATGTTATAAAACCTCAAGTGTTATTCGTGGCGTCTAACAAAACATAATTGAAAAATATGAGATATACAATACTAATAGCAATGTTTTTTACCACTTTTATTTGTAACTACAGTTTTGTCCTATAAGGACATTTTCAAACTTATATATACTAACAATGATTGATTACCTTAGTCCTTATATAACACCACTGTAGGTAATAATAGAGGTACTTAGCTTAATTGAGTACCTGAATTTTGTTTACTAGTGACAATGTTGATTTGCCAATTTGAAAACCGATTAGTAAACTAAATCGATTTGATTGTTTAACAGGTTGCACCCACAATGTTTATGCCAAGGATTCCAAATGATTGAGTTTGCAACCTTTCCTTGCATAGTGCAAAATTTCCGTATTGTTTAGATTCGGAAACTTGTGGTTGCATACCAAGAAATGGTTTGAAATCGTCGAATCATTCTCTACTTCGAACTAAGAGCAGAGAATAGAGTAATCTAATTTTTTTTCAAATATAACTTCATTTGGTATTGGAAAATGAGTAGTAAGATTATTTATTGATAGTAATGAACTAATGCCAAGATAACTTCTTTACAATTTCCAAAACCATGTTTTTGTGACTATACTTGAACAGATATCTTCCTGCAATTGCTTGAGATGTTATGAATATGTATTAACGTTCACGTGTTATAAAATCTTTTGCAATTGAAATTCACATTGAAACATTTGAAACTGGGTGGTTATTATATAGTTCTGTTTTCATCTATTATCTGAAATAAATGTTTGTGTAACATAATGTCCTGCACACTGACATTCCCATCATTTTCATCTTTATTCTTCCAGTTATAATAGTTTTTTGTATGTTAGTTTAGTTTTGAAAATGACACCATGAATCTATTATGTTATAGATAATAAGTTAGGTTATGTTATGTTAAAAGGTAAGACCTCGTTAGTCCTTAGCTCGCCCAAGTTTCGATTTCTGAGGGTTGTCGTTCGTAGGGGTGCGATAGCTGGTTAACGGAAAAACATATTTCAAACATACTTTAAACAACATATCAAAATCTCATTTTTCCGATCCCTTGTAGATGAAAAAACCTTCAAACCGTTATTATAAAAATATATAGTTTTCCTGACCGTATTATTGTTCCGGTCGAAGTGAATTATGTTTCCGAACTCAATAAAAACAAATATTTTACATAGTGGCTTTGTTTCAGAGTAAGATGGATATTAAGGAATTGTAGATCTGTTATACTTTCAATGTTCCCTTTTCCAAGATATTCGCAGGTTGCCAAACCGCCCACGGCTACTAAATATACGTCGGCACACGTCCAATTTTATCCTCCATTCACTGCAACAGTAATACAGAACTGCATACTTCGCTTCTTCATACAGGATGTTGAAGGAATTTCAGCTGGGAGTAAATCTTTATCCAAATAATGCGTAACTTACATCCATCTTTTTAATGGCTTCACTAACGTTTTTAGGGATATTTTGTTTTTTCAACGTTTGACAAATGCGTTCGGCAATAAATTTTATGCAAGTGTAATTGGTGAAACCGAGGCGACTTGCAGGGAAAATGAATGGATGAGAATGAATCAAAGTATTTAGAGGAATGCAATTCTTGAAGTGACCTGAAATTAATCAAATGGTAAATGTTTTCTAACACACGCAAAATCAGTATCGGGTTAATAAAATTCTGATTATAGACAGGAAAATTCAATAGGAATAGTTATTCTCTTTCTGAGTGAAAAAAAAATCAATACGAATACGGTTATTTTCTTCCAGACCTGATACCTAATGTTAGTAACTTTTGACCAAATGAATGAAAATAGTATTTGATGATAATAATATGACACAATATGAGTATGGCCAACTCTGAATTGCATGCGGAGTCAGCAACATGCATATTTATGACTTCAGTTAGGAGACCTTGAAAAGGGAAAACCTCTACTAATGTGGATATAGCTTCATTCAATGCAAAAAAAATGTTGAGTTGAAAGTATTTCGGGTGGATCGGTTATAATCATAACGGAGTAGCCAAGTACAGGTCCAACCACACATTTTCCACTCCAGATTCACTTCAGTTCAAAGAGTACTCCCATCAATACAGTTCAAGTGAAAATACACAAAGGTTGTAACAGTTGGAATGAGAATTCGCACAATATTTGGAATTGATTCCGAAAAATAATTTTCAACTGACACAAACACTTTTGAAAATGTTTGTTAATCTAAAATTCAGCGTAACTCAATATGTAATTTCATTTTAATCGAGATGAACTTTTATACATTATAGTTTACAAAAAAGAAAAGTTCAAGCCCTAATTGGAATTTCAATTTGGTATCTCTTGCAAGCTCAGTAATCATTTTTAGTTTTTTTTGGTGAAGGTGTCGGGTAGTCCCTTGTAGCTCCAAAAAAGGCAATTGATTTTCATTAGTATTTAATTTGTATAGATTTCAGACTATTATCTCTCTATTGAAATAGTGGTTTCGAAATTTCATGGTGTCTTTCTCTGATTCAAACCAACTTGAAGGGAAACAGTATGTAGAGTGAATAGAGAAAGAAATTATGAGAAGGAATTAACCGAAACTCAATAAAAATCCATAACGTACTCAAATAACACTTCATTGCTAGATTTTCAGTTTACAAAACTGAAACATGCGTTTCGCTATACAATTGCTTCCTCAGGCATGTTCATGTTGTATAGATTGTAATTATTCAATATATATATAAGAGGGACCTGATTGAAAATACCCAATGAAAAATAATAACAATACCCATAAGTATATGAAGTTGGCGTTTCCAACTCACGGTTTTGAATCTAGCAGTATTCAAATGTCTTCCCTCTGCAAAAGTCGAAAAATGTCCAGATCAACAACTGTCATCGGACAGTATAAACGGTCAGAATTGAAGGCAATATTGATTTTTTGAGTATGATTTGGAGTACAGTTTCTATTTTTGAACAACCTCTGATTCGCTGGATAGTAAAAGAGGCCCGACTGAATGACTTGTCTGGTTGCTCGATTTATCACCATTGGACAATTTTTTCTAGGTTTCTCGAAAAATATATGTTTTGTTGAGAAATGTATCGTTTCCCCTAATATAGACTTGTTTTCTTCCCAAGAAAATTTTTTCGCATTACCAATGAACATTAAAATCTATTTTGAAAGAAAACAATCAAATAGAATACAGTTATTTGGACACGGTTCATTTTTTCGAAAAATCATACCAAAACGGCTCTTATTTACAAGTAATTGGAATTGAATGTCAATGAAATATCATCGTATATGTGTATTTCTTTTTCAATATCAAGAAATATCCCAAATTATCATTTCAATGAAAAATAATAGATATTTAAATTAACGAAAATCCTTATTTCTGTTCAATATCTGTCAATACGATTAAGAGAACGATTAAGAGACCTTCACTTTTCTCATCACTCACAATTAACATATTGTTACAGACACCCAGTGCTAGCCAACTTGCCAACGAATCACATCAGAAACAGCTTGAGCTGCAGCGAAGGCAGCAGGAACACCTCCTGCAACAACAGCAGAAGTTGCAGGAACTCCAAGGCCAAATATCCGCCCAATATGCAGCTAGCAGTGCGGTGGGTCCTCAAGCAGGTCTCATGTTCTTACCTTTCCTGGAACAACTGCGGGGGTTGCAACCATCAGCAATGCCACCTGGTGTACCAAAATCGCCTCTTGGAAATCATGTGAGTGATAGAAATAGAAATGATTCACATCAAAATGCTATTATGATAGCGTAGTTTAGTCTAGTACCACTGATGAGATCTATGACAGCTCGAAAAACTGTCTGGTATCGGATCACGAATGCTATGTTGTTCAGACTCTGGCTTAAAATTGTCAGTAATGGTACAAACAGGTGACGGGATAATCAATTAGATAAAAGCAGCCGGTGTAGAGGAACTGAAAATATTTGACATAGTTGAAAAATCTTACGGCAAATATATCATGGTCTTCAAGTAAATATCTCATACAGAATTTGATAAAATAGTAGTGCTGATGGTAAAGTAATCAAAAAATTTACTGAAAACTGTTATGAGCATACGGATTCCTTTGAAAGGGTTCAAATTGCTAGTTAAAGAAATTCTGGCTGATTGGTGAATATTATTCAGACGACGAACGTTCTGTGTATAAATAAATAGTTTCCTCTTCTAAGAGATTTAAGATGTATCTAATGAATAACAATGAATGGTGAAAATAATCCCATTCAATCTTCAAGCAATATATTTCACATATTAGGCCACGAATGAAATGGTATGAAAATTGTTTAAGAGAAGTGCGAAATTACCTGCAGCCACTTTTTACATAGTGACCCAATTGGACACTTTTGAAGGGAAAAACTTGTTTTCAATCTAGATAGATGACAACTGATGGCTATGCCTGGGGATCAAATTTTATGGCATCATGTTTTTGGAGATGTTCATTTTCAAAAAGTTGCTTAATTTTTTTCCCATCCGCATCATCCGAAGCCTACTTGATCAAAGTGTGCGTTTCAAAATCTACATGAAAAAACCTGAAATCTCTGTATTTCAAAGATCACTCCAGCAAAACATCAAGTGTGCTACATTTTTGGAAAGGTAATTTTAAGCTCTATTGAAATATACAGGAATCCACAGAAATATATCAGTATTTTGGAATTAATAGGTTTTGTTATAAATGAAATGAAAAATGTTAATTATAATTTTTTGTGGGGAATTCAATGATGAATTATAAAAGTACTAATTTATCCTACTTTCACAATTCCTGAGATATTTAATTTCTTATAATTTATGAATTTCAAAATTTGAATATCGAAGTATTGAGAGAAGGTGACTTTTGTGGAAAAGTGAACTTCTATTTTTGTGGAGAATTTAATTTTGAACAAAACACTTATTAACACATTTTAGCGTTACTATGGATATAATAAATATTTTCCCAACATCAAACAATAATTATATGAATACCATAAAATTTGTATGAACTGTAGAAGTTGTATCAAATGGAACATTCAAAACTAGGGTGAAACCTACAGAACTTGATCTTCAAGTGTCTCGTAAGATGGATTTTTTGAGATAAATCAAATAATATATTTCAAACATACGTATGTAATTTATATCCGCTGGAAAATGAGTTATCATAAAAATGGAACAGTATTTCGGGTGCAATTTTGGTTTCGGTTCATTCTAAAGTTACCTCAACTTGCAAACATAATTTATTAAAATGATTGATTCAACTATTGTTTATTTTGGCGGAGGATCAGGGTTTCATTTAAAATAACATTTTATTCGTAGGTTTCCTATTTTTGCCTCATTTGCAAAAATCGATGAATTATACTTGTATCCATGGAAAGTAATTTTCCTTGATATGAAAGGCGTTCCACAAATCATGAGTTATGGTTTTTCTGTTTCTCATATTTTGAATTTAATCTAGTAAGTTCATTATTTTCACTTTTTCATATGTTCGAATAGGTTTTTGAAATGAGTTTTTCCCGATAACCTGCAAACTTATGTAAACAAAAAATTTATTGGGGTAACTAAAGATTACCGTGGTTGCATACTTTGGCACAGTTGAAAATTACTGAGTTCTTGGATGTTGAAAGGTTGTATTTTGATCTTGGTCTTCTTAAAAAATTTAGCTAGGAGTTTCAGTATTATTGACACAAAATAAAGAAAGGTATGAAATTTCGCAGTGTTTTTAGTTCTTGAAAAGATTCGACATTCAGTGAGCAGAGAAGAAGTTACTATAATCTGTAACCCAACTTGAAATGGATGGAAGACACAAAAATAAACAATATAGGTACTTGTATTCGTTTCAAAATGTCCTTATAGGACGAAACTGCAGGAACAATAGTTACAAATACAAGTGATATAAAAAGATAGGAAGTTTTATTTCGCATTTTTCATAGAAATATGTGAGACAATACCTACAAACAGCTCAAATGCGAATGCTATGCTATACATTGTTCGAAACCCACCTCAATATAGGAATAATTGCTTGGGGAGCAGCAAATACAACTTTTCTGAAACACCTACAACAAGCACAAAAATCAGTATTGAAAATTATCCACCTCAAAAAAAGAACTTACTCGACCGACTCATTATATAGAAAAACATAAATTCTAGATATCAGATAACTCTACTTTCTCAAAACTATAATTAGCCAACATATTAATAAACATGAATTAAGGAAAATAGAACACCAATATGAAACTGGACAAAAAAATAATTCATATGTTCCGAATTCAAGAAAAAACATTCTTCAAAGGTTTTACTTATACATAGCTCCTCGATTATATAATCTCGTCCCACTTCATATAAAAAATATCAGGGGTAACAATGCATTCAAAAATAAACTCAAAACCTGGGTCTTAGGCTTGCCAAGGCTTCAGATACATGTTGATATCCAGTACGTTGATATGAAAAATGTTTACTATCACAGTGACATGCACAGAAACTGATTCACATCTTCATACAGAAAGTTTGAAGATATAATTAAAATAATATGTCTACACTACTTTATATTTTAATTTTTGAAATTGTATTCATTAGTATTCCAATTTCTGCATAACGCACGCACAGGTATATTCTTCTGTGGGATTTCTATATTTATTCGGAAATTGCCTCGTACAACTTGTGACATTGAAATATGTATATTTACCAATAAATATTATTTTGATTATTACTAAAACCTTTCAATGCTACAGAGTTTGAATGTGGATGATAATTTCAAGTTCATAAACAATAATTTTTGTGTAGATTGACAAGTTTAACTTTTTTCGCTGCTCAGAATAAATTGCCTCTAATTTTTTATTTATTTCACGTTATTTCATTTCAGATACAGGATGATTTTGAAATTTGATAATGGTATACTGCTCATTTACATGTTTGGTTACCTGGTTTTTTATTACTCGTATGAATTCACTATTTTGTGTATTATTTTTTTTTACCATGACTCACGCTCACTTTTTTGTGTTTGTCGGTAATCAATCAGTGGTTGAGTTGCTGTGAATCGTTAAAATAGTTAGTCGAAACTATATTGTGTAACACGGTAGCAAAAAACGCATTTTCTTTTCAACTTTATTATGTCTGAGTACAGTTAAAAACAAACCACAATAGTGAAATCAGTCATTCAATACTCCTCCCTTTAATATTCTGTAAACGGGTGAATGTGTTTCCTTTTTATATACTTCAAAATAATTGGAATGTGTATCACGATTTCAACTCTTGTCAATTTGTTCATTTTCCATTTCATATAGAAAAAAACTCAATAGAGAAGTCGTTCGTGCAACAATACTGAATAGCTTCTACCTCATCAAAGCTATAATGAAATATATGCAAACTACTTTTTTCAGATGCTTCCACCTCATCAAGTACCAAGTTGGATCTCAGCCACGGCCCACTTGGCCCAAATGTCAAACGTACCACCTCATGAAAAACGATCTCCTCCTCCGCATCACACTCCTTCGCCGACACCACCTCCCTCGGACCCCGACGCCCCACTCAATCTCAGCAAACCCAAGTCTTCCAGTTCCGGATCCACCGGATCGAGCCCACAAAGTACCCCCTCCTTACAACCCCATGATCAACCTGTGGCAGCGACAGCCCCGAAACTCTTACCTCCGAATCTGATGATGTCGAGAGCGTTTCTGCCTTACGCAGGACTACCTCCTCAGTTTCCTATGCCTGGTGGTACAGACAGAAGTAAGCAGGGCAAAGAGATGGTTAATCAGGAGAAGCAGCATCATTTTCCTATGCATGGGTTGTACGGTTTGCCCACACCACAGCATTTAGGGCAGAAGGAAGATAGCATTAAGGAAGAGAGGGACTTTCTAGCGACGTGTCATTGTAAGTTATTTATTTGTGTAAGAAATTCTTCCTTTCACCAAACGTGTAATTCAATATTTTTTGGAACCTGTTGATATACAGATTCTAAATTTGATGAATATATAATATACTATTTAAATGAGAATAAATAGTTACTCAAAGTGACAGGTTATGAAAGTCTCAAAAGTCAGATTTTGTTCAACAAATAACTATAAAAAAGGTTTGAAACACGGATTATATTGCAAAATAATTTAAGAATTTGTCAAACTATCAGTCATAGCGGTTTTTAATTTCCATAGGACAAAGAATCGATGATCAAAACTATCATGGACTGCTTATTTTGGTATCAATCATCCTTAAGGCGTTAGAGTGGTGCCTGTGCGAAAGTATTGATTCACATTGGATTTGAATCGCTGGAGATTAAATCCATTTGGAAAAACATTATCAGGAAGTTTATTCCACATAAACGCAGTTCTCCAGTTGAAATAGTTCTTAAACAGTGGATTTCGAGGTGTACTGAGTTGAACCTCAAAACGATGAGCAGCCACAGTCCGTCGCGTGACAGAATAATGAAAACAATTGACGAAGATCAACATACATAACACAAGTTCGGAAAAAAGGAAAAAACTTTTTGGCTTCTACTTCTCCATCTTTATGAAAGAAATTGTGGAAAATTCCAAAGGAAGGAAGAAAGCAATTAGATTTACTGTTTCCTCTAATTCATTCAATTCAAACCCGGAAATAAATTATGGGTTACATGAATCAAAAAATACAGAACTAACCTTATTTATACAGTCAGAAAATATTACTGGATATGTATTCGACTAAGACTGAATCGACAAAGTCAGTTATCATTTTTTCAAAACCCAAATTTTTTAATGAGAGTATCAGAAATATTACTTTCATAATATATAATAATATGTTACATCAGTTATCATCAAGAAGTAATTTCGTGAAGTGAATTTTGAGGTGATCATAATTTTTGACTTGAAGATTATAGATTTGAAAAAGCATCGCTCTCAATCCATACATAGCTGTCTCCTACAAAGAACGTCAATATATTCACTTCACTACTATCAGTACTGCAATCCTAGAAGAGGTTATAGTTATATTTCGAAAAGCATGTATAAAAAACTGAAAAAAATTACTGCTATTTTTTTAGGCAGTAATGAATAAAACATCTTTTTCTATGGGTATTGTAAAAAACTGAATTCTATGACTGTGTTCTGTTGGATGAGCTGGAAAAATAATTCATGATTTGATATATTCAAGACCAATCACAGATAAACAATTTCATAACTTTACAGTTTTGTTTTAATTACTTTCAATCGCCAGTAAGCTTCGAGACTTTCCTACTCTTAAACAAGTTCTCAAACATCAAACCTAATCACTCAACTAACTTTCGTTTTGGAATATGGAGTTTCTGAAAAAAAAAACGAGAATTCCCCTCCAGAAAATTGTAATGTGGCAAAAAATTTATAGATAGTTCGTCACTTCGGTTCGCGTCGACAAACTTTATTCCCCCGAGCAATGGCCACATTTTTCTCTTGAATAATATATTTTGTTTTGAAAAAATCTGAAAAATTTACCCTCTTCATACTGTGTCCTATTGTTGTGTTTTCTTCACATATAACGCTGATAATACAAATTTTCCGGTAAAGTTGTTTTATATTTTGCAACCCTTTATTATTACGAAACCACTTTTACACACTCAATGATGATACCATTTTACGAATGATTATAAATCTGATTTGAATTGAACAAAAGAACAATCACCAAATAAAATTATGAATGTATTTTAGAAACATTTATTTATCGTCTCAGACTGGAATGTCAAGTTCACACTTTTTCTGGATATAATATATCAAAAACTATGAAATTTCAAAAAGACAAGTTCATATTTCAAATTCTTCAGAATATTTTTCTGATGATCACCTCTTCTCTTCATATTTTTTTCAGAATTCCAACTATTTCGGTGCAAAAAGTCATCTGTCTTAAATCTTGTTCTACGAAAACACAATACGCATATTTATATGCCACATAGATGATAAATGCACTCTAATCCACCTCAATAAAATGTTCTTTGATGTGAACGGAGTATATATTTTTCCAATTGTGATGAATGGTCAGAATGAATAATATATCTTTTGAGTTCATGCCAAAAATACAATTAATATTATTCTTGCGGCAACATATTCGAAATGACGTTTTATTAAAATTTCTGTGAGTTCACTCCAATGGTATTTTGTCTAGTAATAATTTCATTAAGTGGATATCCTCCAATTGTTATACTGGCACGAAAATAACCAATTTATGATTAATCGATTTAGTATTCTCAAATCATATAAATGATGAATGAAAATAAAACTCACATTAGAGTCTGAGATGAACTAAATCCGCAATTAATAAAATCATGAGTATATAAATAAACCCATAATAATTAGAATACGCAATTGAACATTTTGTATTATTCCATATGTAACAACCTTGTAGCACCAAATCAAATTTCAAGTTCATTGTGATTTATTCGGAAAAGAAACTTGATGCTTTCTGTAGTATTTCAATTATTTCATTTTCATGAATATCTATAACAATGAAAATGAATAGTGTTGGATTTGCATTAGGCATTTGTATACAAACATACTTGTTGACAGATGAAATATGTAAAAATTTACAATTAAAATTTTGAATTCTTTAAAAAAACATCTTTTGTGAAAGATTCACTACTCCTTACTGACCACATTTTTCAACGCTAAAGAAAGCTTGATATAAGTATTTGATTTTTTTCAATAGATTTTTTCAATTTTTAGGCAAAATTCGTCAATATAACAAGTATTTTTTCAGTTTGGCCTTTACACTTCAGCAGATTCTCTATTGATTCAGCTTTGTTTATTTTCAGATTGTGCAAGGTTTATATTCTCAAAAAACAGTGAGAATATAATTTTAGCTTTCGAATACATTCCCAAAAAATTAATATTGGATATTTTTTCCAATATCACATCACATAAGAAAGTTAATACATCATTTTAATTCATTTTTTCCTATATGATTCCACTCGAGAAATATTAGAGGATATTGCAAAATTTTATTATCAAGTTACTTTCATTGATGTAGCTTGTGACCTAAATCATTTGACAACAGATACAATAGTTATTAAACAAAGTTATCAGGCACAGAGTATGTGATTTCACATCAAAACCTGAATGTCCATATAAAGAATAATCGACTCCAAGGTAGACATATTATGGTAAATTTTCCCTAATCTAGTGAGGATGCGACTACTTTTGTCAGATAGGCAAGCAACACAAATGGGTGGCTTGGGACGTAAAATAAACGCCCTCCCTCAGATACAAACTACTAATACATGCTCTTCTGATCCTCTCGAGTAACCTGTAGCCTGCCAGGTCAGAATGTGCAGCTCTCGAAATTCATCTGTGGGTCATCTGAAATATTCTCAAGGCAAAATAACTTTTTTCAAGGACAAAACACAAGCACTACAGGAAAATCCTCTACGCGCTCTCAGAGCGGTGCCTGTGCGAAAGTAGCGATTCACATTGGATATGAATCGCTGGAGATTAAATCCACCTGGAAAAACGTTCTCAAGAAGTATATTCCACGTAAACGCAGTTCTCCAGATGAAAGAGTTTTCAATCAGTGAAGTTCGAGGTGTACTGAGTTGAACCTCAAAACGTTGAGCAGTCACAGTCCGTCGCGTATTTCTGATATGTACCGCTCTTGGTGAATTCGAATGTGCCAAATAACTTTAACACCTCTCGTGAAAATATCTATAGAAGAGAGACAAATCTCCAACCTTTCTTTCTATGTTCCCAGCTATCAAGGTTGCATGTGATGTTCGCGTCTCCAATCAGGCGGATGACTCTTTTCTGGATGGAATCCAGCAACTTCAGGGTATGTTTGGGGACAGAGCTTCAAAATAAGAAAAGTACTCCAAATAAGGTCTGATCTGAGCTCTATAAGGCATCAAAAGTTGCTGAGTTGTGTATCATTTTCTGGTACGGAACAGTGTTCCAAGCTTTTGAGAAACAGCCTTTGCAATTCCTGCGACATGATTGTACCAAGACATACTGACGTCCATTTTAACCCCCAACAAACTTATCGAAGCTGAAAGCGGAATTGTCTGACCTGACATTATCATTACCGGTTCGGAGACATTTATCTTCTTGGAGAAAACCAATGCCTGGGTTTTTGTGCCATTGAATTGAACCTGGTTACTTTCACCCCAATTCGATGTCACTTCTAGACCCTCTAAATATGCAACCTCCTGCTGCCGGTGAAGATGTGCCTCCGTAGCCAATGTCCTAAAATCCAAATGGAATGACGAGAGTATCTGTAAGCCACTGGTTTGGATGAATCATCGTTTGAGCATAAGCGTTTACTGACTTGCTATAGGTTTTTCCTCTACTGATAAAGATTCTGCTTCTGGTACACAAGCATTTGGTGCAAGGTAGATTCGCGGATTTTGAAAGTGATAAGTCGTTTCTTGACCTCACGACGTAATCTCTTAGATTTGTTAACGAAATCAAGAATTCAGACATTTTCTCTAGATTTAGCTTCGGATCGATCTGATCCATAAAGGTTCCCACTAGTAGCTAGGAAAAGGAGATGCATCATGATAGAGCCCCGAATCATCGTAGCGAGGCTATCTCGAATTTTTCGTTAGTGAAACTGAGTGGGCTCAAAACCATAGATCCTTCCGGCAGGAGTATTCTAAGGTCGTCTTTCACTGGGCTGATTACTTACCTAACATCAATATAGTATGAATTATAACATTATCGAATTATCTAACATATATTTTTCAGATTCACCATTAACTCTCGAAATGAATTTATTCTTTTTTTTTTCAATTTATTATCATAAGTAAGTTTATTTTTTTTTAAATATAAGAAAATATCACGAACTATTTATCTTACTTGTCTTGATTTTTGCAATACATAAATGAAGTTTTGATAAAATATTTTCAGTTTTGTATCAAATATCTTCATATACTATTTTATAACGATATAATCTCACCATATTGAATACAATAACTATTTTCACAGTATGGGGAGCACCAGATCCCAATTACAAAATGGACGACAATTCAGAAAAGGCGAAAATCATTCGACAACAAGCCAAACGTGAGAGCGAAAACAAGCCCCACATCAAAAGGCCCATGAACGCATTTATGGTTTGGGCTAAAGACGAGAGACGGAAAATTCTAAAAGCATGCCCAGATATGCATAACTCAAATATTTCAAAAATTTTGGGAGCTCGTTGGAAAGCGATGTCCAATTCGGAAAAGCAGCCATACTACGAAGAGCAATCTAGGCTGTCTAAGTTGCATATGGAGAAGCACCCTGACTATCGATATCGGCCAAGACCCAAGAGGACATGTATTGTAGATGGTGAGTGAGAAAATCTTAAGTTAGATGGATGGACATTAGATCCAAAACGAACACTTTTCTCAATCACCAGAAATGTAACAGTCGAGTCGTGCTTCTAGAAGAGTATTTCATTTCTCGTGACTGGAAAAGTGCTACTCTTGGATTTATTCTACGCCAGAGCTTTTAGTTTTACCCTTTATGGAATGTTATAATTGCCAAAATTCGTATTTCCTGGAAATATTCTACGTCCTATCTCGGCAAGAAAGACTTTCTTTCATTTCTTCGAGCTTTTTCCATAACCTCACCCATGGTAACCTAGCTATATTAGTAAATTTCATTAGGTCTACTGAAGGTCGACTTCAAAACTGATTTATCATGGAACTGTATATCAATTACGATCATTGTTCTTATATAGTATAATAGTAATTGTGCAATTTTCCTAATTTTTGTATCCTTTTCCCTCGATCATCTATACTTCCAAAAAATATTCAACTATGAATATTGATTCTGGTATCCATTGTTCTGTATTTTCCCAGATTATATACAATCAAAGTGACTCCAAGCTTGCTCAAATATGTTTTGCACAATTCTTGAATCTATGAATAGCAGATGTATTGTATATCTTCAAATGAAATAATATTTGAAAAGAGAAATGAAAATTTCTATGTTTTTTACCACTTTTATTTGTAACTAACGTTACTGCAGTTTCGTCCTATATGGACATTTTCAAACTTAAATAACAATGAGTTTATTATGAAAGGTTCAAAATGTGAACCATTCAGTTCCATACAGAAGTATAAGCGACTTTCTAAATGTTTTCGCACATTTCTCAACATTTCTGGATTCACTGCACGACACACCACAACAATTCTCCTGCGTAAATCATCAAGTGAATTTGGCTGTGTAATATAAACTTTGGATTTCCAATGACACCATTGATAAATTAGGAGGTCTAGCTGGCCATTCTATTGGTCCACGCCTTCCAATCCATCTCCCTGTGAAATTGTCATCTAAAAATTGACGTATAGGTGAAACAAAATGTGGAGGAGTTCCATCTCAATGAAAGGTGAGCTATCCTTCAAGTAGACTATCATCGTCTTTAAGTAAGTGAGTGATTCTGGGGTTCACAGTTGTATCAAGAACAATCAATTTCTGGGGAGTTTGTGAATGAGTTTCCCTGTACCAATGGAGATTTACGTCTCTCCAGTATCTGCAGTTGTGCCTGTTCACATGTCCATTTAAATAAAAAAAAAGATTCGTTAGAAAAGCACACATTGTAGAGGTAATTATTATCACAAATCAATAATTTGCGCATGATTTCACAAAACTCTGTACGTCTATCAGGATCATCTTCATTCAATTCTTGTACATTCTGCATTTTATAAGGATGGAATTTTGCTTCTTTCAGAATTCGATGTAGGCTGCTTTTAAAAACTCCAGAAATAGTCTCAAGTTGTCTCAAAGATTGAATGTTGTCCATCACTGCATGTCCTACAACTGCAACAGCGATCCCTTCGTTTCTCAAAGGCTTCTCTCTTTCATGTTTTTTATTCAGCACTGATTCCGACTCCATGAACTTATTCATCAATTGAATCACGGACTGATATGGATGAATTCCATTGAAAATTCGAGCCGTAGCTCTAGCATAAAGTCCATTTTCAAAATACTCAGCTACAATGGATATTCTCTCTTGTATAATATGAACCACTTTCGAAAGTATTCGAATTGTGAGTGAAATGAGTACAAAGGCCTAAACAAATATATGCGTATTTAAAAACACAAGGCGACAGTTTTTTTTTAATGAAAACGTATGTCTAAACTATTATTTCTGAAAGTATATCATTTTTTAATGCAGTGGCGTACCTACAGTGAACTTTTCTTATGGTGATAACATTTTGATCGATCCTCAGTTTCAGTACACCAATGTATTTGGGATTTTTAATGCAGTGGCGTACCTACAGTGAACTTTTCTTATGGTGATAACATTTTGATCGATCCTCAGTTTCAGTACACCAATGTATTCGGGATTGAATTCACTTCGAAATGATTTATCACAAGTATAGTAGTCCCATTGAAAATCCGGAAGTAGCGGCGCTGGGGATAGAGGGGTTAACAACACAATGATGATGTATTTGGTGAAAGTGTTCCCCCTTGAAATAAAAATCGACGGGTCTGAGCGATTTTGATTTTTTTTCACCAGTTCGCAGATTAGGAGAGTGACAAATTTCAGCTGAGACACACTGTAAATCAATTCAAGTTGAATCTTGCAACGGCAAGTTGCAATAAATAATTTTTTTATTTTCTACAAATGTTAACAATTCGTCTCACTTGCAGGCAAGAAAATGCGCATCTCAGAATACAAAATGTTGATGAGGCAACGCCGTCAAGAAATGAGGCAACTATGGTGCCGAGATGGAACCGAAATGGGCTTCATGTCCTCCAACCCCGACCTAGCTTCACCCGCCTCGACGTCCGGAAGACCCTCTGTCTCGCCGCCTCTAGGCATGATGAACGGAGCCGGCCCAAGCTCTGATGGAGGGTACTACTACCCCCACGACAATACTTCTCCTGATGCCATGAACTTTCCCCAGGATCATAGTATGGCGTACGACTCTAGTCCGAGGCATGAGGATGACTGAGCCTGGCCCCACAGGGAACATAGCTTCCCACAATGGTACTAAGGTCTGGTCGGTTTGGAGTATTTTGCTTTTGTAGGGCCGGTCACGGGCGGTATCCTAAGGTGAGACCTTGGGAGTTTGTATTACATGTTGAACTGTGTATATTGAGGAAAAAGACATAACGTGGCAGAATTCGCTGTGCCATTGAATAAGAGACGAGAGGAAATACCAAAAGACTTTTCATTCAGAAATATACCCGAAACATTTGGTGTTGTAATTGTATTGTTATGTAGATATATTCAAGATCTTGAAGTTATTTATTTATATCTAGTTATTTCTTTTTTGTTTTTATTTTGTAAATTTATGTAAATTTCACACATTGCATAGACAAAGTTTTTGAGTTTCAGTTACACTGTTTTTATTTGTTATCACAGTTGAAATATAGCTCAGGATTTTCAAATTGGAAATATCGATGGATATCGAATTTACACTTGAATATCTGAGTTTCTCGATTGTCAGTATTTGGACGATTTAGAAGTTTGTTTTTTCTAGTCTTCTGATTACGTTGAAATATAAAGAAGCTAGCTTTATTAGATTAATCAAATTGTATTATTTTTGAAATAGTATGGTACAAAAACTGTTTCAGTAATGAGATGACTAGAATACCGAACGCTTTAAATTTATACGAAGTGCAATGTTTTCTCTACTTTAATTTTGTTTCTGAACTGTTGATGTTTATATATTTTAATGTAAGAGCCAGTACTTTAAGTAATATTATTTATTTTCAACAGTTTCTAAGAATTGTACAGTCAATCTTCAAATATTCATACTTTACAATTAGATATATACACATGTTATATACTTAGACTTTAAAAGTTATATAGATATCAAAGTATCCCTGTACACATATTCTAATTTCAAAATTGGTACCACAATATCGTTCCACTATTGTATTGAATAAAGATTTGTTGACAACAGATGGTAACTACATTTGACTAAATTTTGATACATTGAGTTGAGTTGTTGAGAGGTTTGTCTTCAAATTCGAAAACGAATGTAGGAATTTGAAATTTATACATTTTTTCCATATTGAGGTTTTCATATTTCATCTACTTGATTTTATTTTCACTACCTCGATCTAACCAGGAGGTATTGCCAAACTTATAAAAATTACAACAAAACAGATAAGCATTTCAGAAATAGAATAGTTTTGTTGTTTCACTGTTCTTTCAATTACCCCGGTATTGTATTTATTGTAGGCGAATTAAAATTGCAACCTAAAGAATTGATATAATAATGTTGACAAAATCAATAAATAAGTTAGTAGTTCTCTCTTTGTGACTGTGGTTCGATGGAGAGGATGCGCAATATTGTCAACTGTTACAATTTGATATTAAAATCACTTGAACGAATAGTTTTAGGAAATTCCATTCAATTTCAAATTGATTTTCAATGAGCCAGAAATACACGTCTGCGGTTTGCATTTTTGAGTTCTGCTGATTTGTATCAAAATCACTACGGAACCATCTCGCATATGTACGGAATAATAGTTTTTTTGTCGTACGCAGCTTCAAAAAACAAACTTATTCTATTTTTACAGCTTTCGTCCTAATATTAAGACTTCTGCAGGACCAAGTTAATCGAGTTGTTGATATTTTATAATTAATGACTATGGAAAATTTCAAATACAAATTTCAGTAATATATTCAAAAAACTCTTGTTGATTTGAATTATATAAGTAACAAAAAGTTTCGTGGAGAATAAAACATATTTATTTATCTTTATATCATCCACCAAACATATAATTAGAACAATCGTACCAGATGATACGTGAAAATATCGGTTTAATAATTTCAAACACATTTTGCCTACTGATTTTCATTAGTTTGGACATCAATTTTCTAATATGATTTGAAATCCCTGAAAGAAAAAATATTTTTTTTTGCTTTTTTAAGGACAAAACACAAACACTACAGGAAAATCCTTAATTGATAAGAATAGCTGAAAATAACAATAATATCAAGCAAAAAAACTCTTCTTGTGATGACTGAATTATTTCTTCGAGAGATGAGTATTTATAATAGGTCATTCTAGTGTTTTCTCTCTTCTTTCTCTCCGCTTCACCGGTTTAGCGGGAGACAACCGCTTGGTGGGAGTTGATTATTTTCCACTTGATTATATGGGTTTCTATATTGGTTTTCAACATATATGCAGCTTCTTTGAACTTATTCTTGAACCAGTGTTCCTCCCTGTGTATGATCTCAGCTTGAGACCACTTGATGTTATGTTGATGACTCTAAACATGCTCTGCTATTCCCGATATGCTGGTTTCTTTTCACTATTTCAGCTATTCTTTTTAATTTTCAATTTTGTTTTGTTCTTTCAGAGATTTCAAATCATATTATATCATATCAGACAATGGAAGTGATATATTTACAATTATTACACTCTAATATATTTCGTACTAATCTTTGAGGCGTTGTTATTATCAAACTCACTAAAATCGACATTTTTTTCTGAAATTCACAAGAGGAATCAACTAAACAACAATTCAATTGTTAAAAAATTTCATATCTGTTGGGTTTCATAAATGAATGATTTTTTACATAACAAATCCAATTTAAACAAAGATTCATATCATCATTAATTAATAAATCCACTTTGGAATATGCATTAGCTGTGAAGGTAATTAGATGCTTATAATAGTATAATAGAAACGTTTTTATTCGGAATTCCATGATAACATCAGACAAACTTTCCAATAAGGACGGTTTTAACTTTGATATTATTGATCATTTCATCATCGCGTTACAATGTTTGTGTCATTTTGTAAAACAATAAATCAAATGTAGTAAAACCAAAGAAAATATATTTCGAATATAAACCAACAATGACAGTTAATTCAAAAATTTTCATGATTTTTTGTAAGACTTAAAATATATCTTGTGGTTTCGTTTTTGGGATATCGATAATTGTAGAGAATATTACGAGTTTTTTCAAGTATTCTACCTAAGTTATGATATGTATCAAAATATTTAAATATAAATCAAATTATGTGATAGAATACCTGAAAACGTGCTGTATTTTGATTATTCCATTATACTTTAGACGGCTAGTGATGAATGTATGTAAATCTCATTCTCAATGTAAAAGTTAATATTAAGTCGTATATCCCAAAATGGTGGCAAAATGAAGTATAATATTAGAAACTAGGCTCATTGTTCTTTCCTGTGCCAAAATCAAATAAAGTATATAAAATGTACATATGTGGGTTTCATTCATCAACAAATCAACAGGACTTTTTTTCAGTTATAAAACCCTTTTCATATCTGTGTTCTTGTAAAATGAAAAATTAAAATTTTTCAGTTTTTTCTATTTCATTCATTTGCATATCTTTATTTTCACATATATCCTAATCAATAGCAACACTAACAACACTAACACTGTTTCTGTCTGTTTCCTAACACGAGTATTTATGATATATCAACAGATATGAAAAGGAGTTAAAAAAAGGGGGGCAATTATTTTGAAAAATAAAAACAAAATACAGTTTCAAAGCATTATGTGAAAATGAAAGTGTTCCAGATAAAATATATATTGTATTGTTCCCAATAATTCTTATATTTTTTGTCAATATGGAAATTATCTGATGGTCCAGAAAAGTAGCACATCAAAATGAACGTATAATAAACAGTTTACTCAATCACTCGTTTCCGTTCACAAAATTTTTATATAGCTTCCGTACCAGAAATTGACAGTTTTATCAACATACAACATACAGTGCCGCTAGTCATGAATCTACCCTTAAATCTCTTTTGTTTAGAATGCAATGCCAAAAATATTCGAAACGTTGATGTATATGCAGAATATACATGTATATTAATCACTTGAAAAAGCTAATGTTTAGCGAAACATGTTGTTATATATATTTTTTCAATAGAGTTTGTGGAGATCAAATCGTTTAGGTGTAGTTTGTGAAATTACTATGGATCTTCATCAAGTAACGGCCGAATCAATCGGAAAAATATATGCAGAATTATTTCGAATTAACCAAAGAAAAACTCAAAGTCAACTGTTCACAAAACGTAAATTACTAGTCAATATAAATGAAAATTGTCTTCAAATTCGGGTTGGCATCCCCTAAAACCCTAAATCGTATGAAATAATTTTAAAAGAGGTCAAAAATTAATGACACAAAGATTGAAAATCATGTTTTTCATGAAGGAACGTAGGAACTTAACTCCAAAACCTGTTATTTTCTCAATGAAACTCATTTTAGTTTTTGTTCAAATTGAAAAGGGTATATTTTCGGTAGACAATTTTTGAAAAAAAAAGGTTTTTGCTTTCCACTTCTGCATCTTCTTCGAATCTCCCAAAGGAAGGAAAACTCTTCACAAAGATCATGCAAAAAAGATACTTTCAGATACAAACTGGAAGAAAAAGTCCCCAAGAAAACACTGCTTTCATATAAATATTGAATTACACGAAAAAAAATTTAAACCACTACTTTCATATGAATATGAAATTATACAAAAATAACTTTTTCTTATTTAGTTTGCATTCCAAATATTCGTTATAGAATTGAATCAGATATCATGAGAAGAAAAGCTACACAATATAGTATTTGAGATATGATGAGACATAAAATTTCACTTACATGGAACCCATTCTCCATGGTAGACTTCAAAGTTTCGGAATGGAATATTTGAAATATTATTTCACGAGCACCAGTCGGGATTACATTACAAGATGAAGCACACAAATCAATCAAAACAACACGCCTTTATGTCACGGATGAATTAAATCTACTCATGTCAGGATTACAGATTCCTTTTTTCAGAATAATTATTGTAATTCGTCAAGATCTACATATATTCACTATTTGAAATGTTTTTTGTAGTTATACCGAACAATAAAACTATACACATCATTGAAACCGAAGACGTGCTCCGTATTGTTTTTCCAGGTTTCTTTTAGACCCTACTTCCTTATTAAAAAGTGGCGGAGTTTAGCCGGGCGCTCCGTTACATTAATTTTTTCTAAAAGGGTTTCTCTTTCAGTTTTCACCTGAAAGTAACTTCTATACATGATCTCCACATCTTCGGGAAGAGTTTATTCTGAAATTAATTGATTTCTTTCTTAATTCAGCAATTTCCCACATTAAATGTACAAAGATGGAAAAGTAGAAAGCCAGAACCACCTTTCACCAAATTTTCGTTTTAATCCCAGCAACAAAGATACCTTTGGTTGTCGATAAATGCTGTCTCTCTCGTATTGTTTTATTACACCCGAGGTCATGCACTAAATATATTTATTAGATCAATAAACATGAAGTGACCAATTATATATTCAGTGCTGCCATAATAACACTGACAAATGTCAACTTTCTCGTTGGTACCTTCCGTCTTATACTGATGGCGATGATACACTGGAATGAAGTCGTAGTATAACAGTATTCTCAGTAAAGAAAGTTATGACACATCTATAAATATTACTCAATTTATTAAGTACTGATTGAAATCATCACCCCCCATGCCCCCCTGGGTTGAGTGCCTGAGATAGAATCTTTCCCACATGGTTACTGTGTGCAGAATCTAGAATCTCGTCCATTCACCCCCACTCATTCCTGAGTGGACCTCAACCTGCTGACGGGCCTTTCAGCAATATTGACTTCTGATTTACACCGGTCGAATCAGCCTTTAGGTGCTTATTCTTAATCTGTTGTTTTTATTTCACACAAAAATCTAATCATTTTAGTGGTTTCCTAATTATAGTTGAACGACGTAGGTAGCCTATTACAATCTGGAAGATCCAGAGCAGGATATAAATTTGAAAGAATCTGCAGACTTTGACTTGATTCTGAGGATGCAGCTATATAGGGTGGATTAATATGAACCGGTTTTGTTTCTCCATGAATATGAAAAAAAAAAGGATGGAAGGTTTCAATTGTTTTTTTTCACCGATCTGTGGAATTTGATCAATGTGTCTTTCAATAATGTTCTAATTATCCAACTGAACTGAACAATGTATTTGACCTGCTTGTTTATTGATTCGTCCATAAAACCATTTGTCTTCTAGATTGTTTCTTAAGGCAACGATTTAAAAACATTTGCCGTTGTGATTCATTTGTAATAATGTGATGGATTCTTCTAAGCCACATTAAAATTTTTCTTCAATAAATATAAGCAAATTATCATAGAGCATGGCTCTGAATGAGGTTCAGCCATTTGTTTCGGGATGATACGGAGCTGAATATTTATGAATTATTCTGCAATACTTTGGGGTTAAATTCTGAAATTTTTCGAATTTGACATCATACCCGAAACTTCATCCTTCTGCGGTCAGCAACTACCCCTTTTTTTTTCAACGGCATGAGGGGTCGAATGATACATCACTTGAAAGGTCTTTTGTTCCTCTATTACCTCTGTGATTTTTTTCGAAATTGGTTCATTAGTTATGGAGAAATTAAATGTTGAAAGTTTTATTCAAGAAAAAACAGAAAATTTGCTGTCGTTTATTTTAATGAGGAAATCAACAACAAATAATCTCAGTGGAAACAAAATCAACGGTTGAATTGTTCAAAATGACCTCCACCTAGTTCCATACAATAATACAGTCTACTTTCGAAAGCGTTCCGTACATTACTCAAGATCTCCGGAGTCAGCCATCGGCATTCCCGAACAACTCTCTGTCGCAGGTCTTCTAGATTTGTAGAATTATTTATGTTGTTGCTGAAGAGGTAATGAGGCAAGTTTTTTATTCCGAAACGTCGATATTCGAGATTTAGTATGACAGTATTCCATATATGTTATATGAGATAGTTTTAAAACTCAATATATTGGAATGTTTCGGTACAAGAACAAAGAACAGTTGCTCAATGACTAAATAATTTCAAATAATTCTTTTTGTTGAATTATTCTGATGAAATTGGTAGCTAGTTATCGGAAAGTTTATTAACAGTTAAGAAAGGAATGAAAAAGTAATATATTCACAATATTCCATTTATGACAAAGCGAGAGACGTGCAGGTTTTTCAGCAAGTAATTAAATAAATTATTCTAGACATGTAATGAGAATAATGGATACGCGATGAAAACGGATCACCATACAGCCATAAATGAAATATTCAAAACTAATAGTGTTACTTTCGCCATGCCAAAATTGTGAAACTGAAAAATAATGAAAGTAAAGAAATAATTTTTTCCGTACTCTGGGCAGGTAATCACGTTTAAGGTGAAAATATTAAACATATTATAGGATATTAAACAATTATTTCTCTGAATACATAGTATTAAACAGATGCATTTGAGATATTCTTATCACTAAATATTACTTCCTCTCTTGAGAATTTAATTGATATAAGTGAGGTGAGGAAATTGAATGAGCAATAACAATACACTATCAAGCGTAAGGCGGAACAAATTGCTGGAAGTAATTGTAATTGATAATCGCACGCTCACAACAATTGATGAAATTGTCGTAATAAATTCCATAAGATTATTTTCAACTGAAATAAAGAAAGTAACAACAGTGAGTGTAAGAATAGATTTGACAGTTTTTATCGGAAAAAATTCGCCTTGGGAATTTTTATTTAACAAAAACAAAAGCAGAACTGAATTGTTCAACCACAATAAACAATTGAAGACTCGATCTATCTTCTAGTCCTAGATATCATCTTCACATGGAAGGGATAAGGGACAACAATGGATAATGGAATCACAGCCAACTCCAGCAGCGAGCCCTAATGACATGATATTTAATAGATTGCCAAATTCTGAGATCTTATGATGCACTTGTACTAATAGTAATATGAATCTCTGGAAAATTATCGACCTAGCATGAGGGAAAAATGGTCTCTTGGACCCATATTTTTTTGCAACCAATAGTTATTACACTATGAAACACTCTGGCCATTTCTACACAAAGAAAATTGATAAAGAATTAAGTATTAACACAAGTTCAAAATTTGACAGGTGTTTTCAAACAACATCCTCAAGAGCATCCATGTTCGAGTTGCCTGCAAGTAACAAAAGTGTAAAAAAATAAATAATTTCATTCGACATATCTAAGTGTAGCGACAGTGGGTCACAATCAGTGGAACCAAACTGATCAAATGCTGTGGAACGTTCACTGCTAACCATGATCACCATACTGCCAGTGTCAGAAGCTACATAAGCCAATATTCAAGCAGATACAAATTGTAAAGTAAAATAGTGAAATGATAAAAAAATATCGAAAGAAAGTGCAGATTTACAAATGCCAA